ACTATCATAACATAGCCAAACGTAACATAACCAGACGTAACCTAATTCGACCTAATGTGACGAGATCACTATTGCTGGTCTCCACAAAGCCGAGCAGAACTCGGAGGAGAGTAGAGCGCAGAAAACCATAGAATAGCAGTGTATAGCATAAGAGTCAAAGCTATCCTCCCCTGACATGACCAAACGTAACACAACCGAACGTAACCGAACGCAAGCTAACGTTCCGAGAACCCTACTGCTGGCCTCCCCATAGAACAAGCTGAATATACTAGAGAGTAGTAGAGCGCAGAAGCCAGCGGCATTGCAGTGAATGGCGCAATAGCCGTAGATATCCTAACATAATCTGACCTAATCTAACCTAGCTAAACGTAGCATAGCTTAGTGCAACGTACCGCGACTACTGCTCCTGGGGTCCCCAGAGACAACCAGAAGGTAGTAGAGCACAGTCGGTCACAGAAATCCACCGAAAAACTGTGTACGGCACGAAAGTGCGAAATTATGCTAACAAAATATAACCTAACCAAGCCCAATCAATCGTAACATAACACAACCTAAAGTGCCACGGTCACCATTGCTCGCCTCGCTGCGTCGAGCAGAGTATAGTAGAGCTATGTAGAGCGCATTCGGTCCACCGAATAGCAGTGTATCGCACAAAAGTCAAAGATATGCTAACATAACCTGACCTAGCATTACCTATACCAGCGTACCTTATCTCAACATAGCGTGCAGCGGCCGCTGTACCTGGCATTCCCCAGGGCAAAGAAGAAAGCAGTAAAGCACAGTAGATCACAGAAATCCGTCGAAAAGCAGTGTAAAACACGAAAGACAAAGTCGCCTATCCTAACTTAGCCAGTGTAGCACAAGCAAACGTAGCCCAACTCAAGCTAACAGGCCGAGACCACTCTTTCTGACCTCCCCAGCGCCAAGAATAATAAACTACAGCTCAGCAGAGCGCAGAAATCCTCCGCACTGCAATGTATAGCACAGAAGCCGTAGATATTGTAGAGATAGGGTGGAGCACGAATAATGTGAAATTATTTATTAACCATAAAATATACAATGCAACATGCGGTGACGGAAAGGACTACGAATATAATCTATCTATTAATTAAATTCTTGTAACTACAACGACGCAATTATACCAGACAGCACGTATACACTTATCAACACCAATAAAGCTAACACCTTTTTCACAACTCTCTGCTACGTACATTAATATACTACACGTACTACGACAGACTACGCACTCTGCCCTTGCATCCCTATTTAAAACCATACATTCTATCCTCCCTCATACCTATTCTTTCTTTGCAATCGCACTTTCCCATGCACTACTTGCAACCTTACCCTCAGCGGGTCACTTAGCCCAAACACTCAAACGCACACCTAAAGCCACTGTTCACTCCCATCCGATACATTCATAAACATTCCGTCGACACGATCCTAGCGCACGATCATTCATACTATCGCACGCACTCTAGATAACATGCTCATCCCGCCATACCACACAAGGCCCTCCTGATTTGAACATCTGTCCTCAGATGTTCCGCTAACACTGTCCCCGTTTTCCGCCGCACTTCTCTATAACAAAGCATTGTCCAATTTCCCTGCCAAACTGACATTGTCGTAGATGCCCGATTTGGTCGGAGACGACCACGGTCCAAATCCATTCTGCTCTTCTCGCCGTCACTGTACCAATACCCTCTCCGGGCGCTGATAGTTGCCCCGGTGCTTCGCCTCCTCGCCCTCACGCTCGTCCTCGTCCTTCTCTTTGTCCCTATCTTCGTTTTCGTTGTCGCTCCTCTCGTCGCTCACACCATCGCCCTTCCCATCACCTTCGCTCTCGTCTTCGGCCTCGCGGGCTTCACTCTTGTCCTCGTGATCTGCACCCTCAGCATCATCGTCGCTCGCGCTCTTGATCTTCCAGTCGCCTTCGTAGTAATCTTCGTCTACCGTCTTTCCTCCAATCGCGACTGCCGGAACCGCTTCCTGCATCTCCTTACCGCCGCTTGCTTGCGGCAACCCTTTCGATCCTGCGTTTCTCTTCTAGTTCGCGACGGACTCCCCGTTCCCTTCGTCCTCAGCTTCGTCTGCAACTTCGTATACAACTTAGTCTACAACTTCGTCGGCAACTTCGTCTGCAACTTCGTCAGTAGCTTCGTCTGCAACTTCGTCTGCAATTTCGCCTGCAACTTCGTGTGCAACTTCGTCTGCAACTTCGTCCGCAATTTCGTCCTCAATTTCGTCTTCACCTTCGTCTTCAACTTCGTCCTCAGTTTCGTCCTCAATTTCGTCTTCAACTTCATTCTCAACTTCGTCTTCAACTTCATCCTCAACTTCGTCTTCAACATCGTCCTTGAAACGAGCTGTTGTCCACGGATGTGCGTATTCTGACATAAGCTTGCTCTTAAATTTTTGCCATGGTCCACCCGTGCCTGCATACCGAATGTACATTTGTGCGGCTCCACCAAGTAGCATTCTGGCGTAACAAACCCATTGCCCCTCGCACCATTCGCAATCTTCCGCAATTTCTTCGAAGTCACGGTACCGCTGCCTTACATCCATTGTCCCTCCGCCATCAAACGTATACAAGCTTTCTTTCAATTCCTCAAACGTTAGCATATCGCTCGTACGTCTTCCGTCTCGTGCTGCTTTTGACATCTGCCTCCGTCTGGCCATGCTCGATCGCAAACGTTATGACAGCCCACAATCGACACTGCAATTCTTCCTTGCTTCCAGTTATTTTCATTTCGCGTTTCCGCAAATCCCGCTGCATGTCAATAACTTCCATCCGTACCACTTCTTCTAACATTTCCCTGTTTCCTTCACAGCTGAACGAGGTGGTCGTTTTCATTTTGGTCAGCAGAAGTTTACCTTAAACGAATTCAATAATTCGTAGCTTCGTCGTCACTGCACAATTGCTCGTCTGAATCACGGCCTGCCCCCAAATTGTAAAGATAGTGTGGAACACCAATAATGTAAAACTATTTATTTACCACAAAATGCAGAATGCAATATGCGGTGACGGTAAAGACTGCGAATATAATATATCCATTAATTAAAGTCTTATAAGTACAACGACACAATTATACCTAACAACACGAATACAACTAACACCACCTTTCACAACTCTCTGCTACGAACACTAATATACTACACGTACTACGACAGACTACACACTCTGCCCCTGTATCCCTATTTAAAACCATTCATTCTATCCTCTTTCATACCTATTCTCTCTTTCCAATCACACCTTCCCACGCATTCCTTGCGATCTTAAACTCAGCGGGTCACTTGGCCCAAACACTCAAAAGCATTCCTGAAGCAACGCTTCACTTTCATCCGATACGTTCATAAACATCCCGTCCACACGATCCTAGCGCACGATCATTCATCCTATCGCACGAACTCTAGATAACATACTCATCCTGCGATACCATGGTACCATAACCGAACCTTCGCGACCACTGCCCCTGGCCTCCCCAGAGCCAAGCAGAATATAGTAGAGCACAGTAGATCACAGGAGTACGCCGAATGACAGTGTATTACACGAAAGTCAAAGCTATCCTAACCATACTTAACCCAACCTAAACTAACTAAACGTAACCTGACACATCCAAGCGTGCCGAGACCACTATTATTGGACACCCTAGTGCCAAGCAGAACATACTAGAACGCAGTAGAGCGCAGACATCCGCGGATATTAGTGTATAGCTCAACAATCTAAACTAACCTATCCCAACCTCACTAATCGTAACATACCATACGTAGCCTAGCTCAACCTAGCCTGCCGGGACCACTACTGCTGGCATCCCCAGCACCAAACAGAATACACTACAGCGCATCAGGGCTCAGGGATCAGGGATCCACCGCGTTGCATTGTAGTGCACAAAAGCCGTAGATATCCTAGCCTATCCTTCCATACCTATACAAACGAAACACAACCTAGCTAAACCTATCTCGCCGAGACCACAATTACTGGCCACCCCAGTGCAACGCAGAGCATATTAGAACACACTACAGCGCAGAAGTCCGTGGAATAGCAGTGCATGGCACAAAAGTCAAACTAGGGTGTCCTAACCTAGCCAAACGTAACATACACAGACGTAACCTAGCTAGATACAAATGACGAGACAACTACTGCTGATATACACAGAGGGAAGTGGAGTATACTACAGCACAGTAGCTTGCAGAAATCCTCCATATTGAAGTGAATTGGACAAAAGTTGGAGGTACCTTAATATATCCTGCCCTAGCCTAACCTAACCGAATGCTCTTAATATATCCTGCCCTAGCCTAACCTAACCGAAAGTAGGGCAACTGAACACAGCGTGCTGCAGCCACTGCTGCCGGGCTCCTCAGCGCCAAACAGAAAACATTCGCATAAATGTTTATAGCACGAAAGTTGAAGCCACCAGAACCAAACATAATATAAAATGACATAATCAAACGTATCCTAACTCAAAATAAAGTGCCGCGACTGTGGCTAAACTCCCCATGGCCCAGTAGGATATAGTGGAGCACGGTCGAGTGCAGGAATCCTCCGAACATCAGTGTACAGAACGAAAGTCTGGTTTAACCTGGCAGAGCTTAACAAAACCTAACCTGACCGAACGTAAACTAACTAAATCAAATGTGCCGAGACTAATATAGATGGCCCCCACAGACCTAAGCCGTAAGTATCAGATCACGCTGGAGCGCAGAAATCCACCGAATAGCAGTGTATAGCACGAAAGTCAAAGCTATCGCCTTCTACCATGGCTAAACGTAACATAACCAAACGTAGCGTAAATCAAGGTGACGTGCCGGGACCACTAATAATGGCTACCCCAGAGTCGAGCAGAGTATAGTAGAGCAATGTAGAGAGTAGAAATCCTTCGAATTGCAGTGCATAGGACAAAAGTTCACGCTATCCTCTCCTAACACATCCAAACGCAATGTAATCTAACGTATCATGACATAACTGAACGCGTCGAGACCAATAGTACTGGAATCATTAGAGCCAATCGGAATATACCGGGGCACACTGGAGAGCAGAAATCCGAGTGGCAGTGTACAGCATAGAAGTCGGAGCCATCATGCACTAACATAACTATACGTAACCCAACCAAACGCAGTATGACTCAGACTAACGTGCCGAGAAAGATACTGCTGGCCTCCTCTTAGTCCAACAGAAAATACTAGAGCACAGTAGAGCGCAGAAATCCACCGAATATGACTGTATAGCGCAAAAGTCAAAGGTATCCTAACTACACTTAACCTAACCCAACCTAAGCAAAAGTAACGTAACTGAACCGAACGCGCCGAGGCCACCATTGCTGGCCACATCAGAGACAAGCAGATGCTAGTACAGCAATGCAGAGCGCAGGTATATACCAAATAGCATTGTACAGCACAAAAGCCAAAACCATCCTAAACAAACTTAACCTAACGCAACCCAACAAAGCGTAGCCTGTCACGGTCATACCTGCCACGACCGCTATTGCTGGTCTCCACAGAATAATGCAGGTACGAGTAGAGCAATACAGTGCGCAGTTATCGACCGAATAGCATTGTATAGAAAAAAAAGTCAGAGCTATCCTAGCCAAATATATCATAACCTAGCCAAGCCAAGCATAACCTAAAACAACCTAGGTTGCCGGGGTCACTATTTCTGCCCTCCCCCGATGCCAAGCAGAATACACTACAGCACAGTAGAGCGCAGACATCCGCCGTAGAGCAGTGTAAAGCACAAAAGTCAAAGCTACGCTATCCTAACCTTACCGAACGTAACCTAACCGAACGCAGCCTAACTCAACCTATCGTGCAAAAAACACTATTGCTGGCCTCCCGAGCGCCAAGCGGAGCATATTAGAACTCAGTAAAACGCAGACATCCACCGTATTGCTGTTTATAGCGCAGAAGCCAAATCTATCCTATCATAACCTACCAAAGGGTTACAAAAACGGACGTAACGTAACCCAAACTGACATGCCAAGAAAGCAATTGCTGGCCTCACCAGAGCTAAGTGGAGCGTAGCATAGCCAGGAAGAAAGCTGGAATCGTCCGAATAGCAGTGAATATGAAAAGAATCAAAGATTTCCTAACCAAGCCTGACCAAACCTATCCTAGCCAATCGAAATATAACTCGGCCTAACGTGCCGATAGCGCTATTGCCGGCTTCCACGGAGACGAGCAGAGTGGGATAGCGCACGCAAGAGCGCAGAAGACCATAGAAGAGCAGTGCGCAGCACAAAAGTCAAAGCTACGCTTTCCTAACCAATCCAACCCCAACATATCCAAGCGCAACCGAACACAGACTAACGTGCCGAGACCAATACTGCAGACCTCCCCACGGCCGAGCAGAGCATACAATAGCACAGTAGGGCGCAGAAATCCTCCGCATTGAAGTGTAAAGCAGAAAGCAGGAGGTATCCCAACCTAACCTGACCTAACCTAGCCTAACCAAAAGTGAAATAACTAAATGTAGCGAGCCGAGACCTCTATTGCTGGCTTCCCGAGAGCCAAGAAAAGCATTTTGGAGCAGAGTAGAGTGCAGAAATCCACCGGATAGCGGTGTGTAACCCAAAGGCCACAGCCATTGTAACCAAACGTAACCAGACCTAACAAAACCAAGCTTAACATAACTCAACTTATAGTGCCACGATCGCTGTTGCAGGCCTTACCAGAGTCGGTCAGAGCATAGTACATCATCGAAGGACGCAGAGATCCTCCGAATAGCAGTGTACAGCGCAAAAGTCAACGTTACCACAGCCTAACTTAACCAAACATAACATAACTCAACCTAACGTGTCTACATCACTATTGCTGACCACCGTGGAGCCAAACAGAATATACTAGAGCACAGTATAGCCCAGAAATTCAATGCATGGCAGTGTATAGCACAGGAGTCAAGCCCACCCTACCCTAACCTAACCAAACGTAACGTAACCAAACGTAGCCTACCGCTTCCCAACGTGCCGAGACCTCTATCGCTGCCCTCCGCAGGGCCAAGTAGAAAATATTAGAGGAGAGTAGATAGCTGATGTCCATAGAACCGCAGTGCATAGCACAACAGTTGAAGCAACACTCCTAACATAGCCAAACGTAACATAGCCAATCGTAGCCTAACTAGAAGTAACGTGCCGCGACGAGAGATTCTGTACTGCGCAGAGCCACGCAGAGCATTATAGAGGAGAGTAGAGCGCTGAAATCGATAGAATCGCAGTGTATAGCAGATATGTCGAAGCAATCCAAACCTAACCAAAGCAATAGTAACATAGCCAAACGTATTCTATGTCAACCTATTTTGATGAAACCACTTTTCCTGGCCTTCCAAGAGCCAAGTAGAACATACTAAAGCACAGTATAGCTCAGAAATCCAGCGCATACCAGTGTACGCCAACCTAACCCAAACAAACCAAACATAACCAAACGTAACATAACTCCTCATAAAGCGACGAGGAGACTGGTTCTCGGCTCCCCAGCGCAAAGCAGAGCCTATAAGAGCACAGTAGTGAGCAGAAATCCACTGAATGGCAGTGTATAGCCCGAAAAGTCAAAGCTGTCTTCTCCTTTCCTAACCTAACATAACTTAACTCAACCTGTCGTGCAACGAACACGTTTGCTGGCCTCTCCAGATCCACTAAGAGGATATTAGGGCACAGTAGAGCGCAGAGATCCTTCGAGCAGCAGAGTAC